ATGATGATGATGCTGATGCTGATGTTAATGATGATGATGCTGACGATTATGATGCTGCTGATGATGATGCTGATGATGACGGTGGTGGTGATTATGACGACGAGGTACCCCCCTGGCACCCCTCTACGCGACGCCCCCGTTTCCCGTTTGCCATCCTTCTCTTCTTCCTTCTCACCCTCCCCTCCTCCCTGGTACTCCACCCTCCACCACCCTCCCTCCGTCCCCTCTTCCTCCTCCGCTTCATTATCTTTTTCTTCCCTCTCTCCTACCTCCTCCCTCCCTTCCTCCCTTCCTCCTCTTCCTCCTCCTCCTCCTCCCTCCTCCTCCTCCTCCTCTTCGTCCTCGTCCTCCTCGTCCTCCTCCTCCTCCTCCTCCTCCTTCTCCTCCTCCTCCTCCTCCCTCTTGTCCCGTCGTGGTCGTCCTCCTTCTTCTCCTCGCTTTTCCCTCTTCCTCCTCCCCCGCCCTCTTGCCCTTGCTGTTGTCCTCCTCTTCCTCCTCCTCACCTTTCTCTTCTCCTCCTCCTCCGCCTCCTCCTCCCTCCTCATTCCCTCCCCCCCCTTCCGGGCATGACCGGCCAAAAAAGTGCAGACCTGCCCACTGAGAGCAGGAGGACGGTACAGTCAGGGTTGATCTGGAGAGGACATGCGAAAGGGCACGAGGCCCTTCCGAGGGCCCTGGCCATAGGATGCCATAGAAGTGTAAGAATGTATGGGCCACGAGGTCATAAGGGGGTAGCCTTGATTTGGCAGGGTCGACCTAGCAATCAACCCGGACTGTCTATCATCATTCTAGGGAACACGCGGCCCGCGCGAGGAGGGCCCGCGCGCGGTGGCTGGCCAGCCACGCAAAGCATCGGGGAGACGTAAGACTCAGGTTCGGGGCACTCGGGTTGGCGTGACGCGGCCACTATGAAAACGACGAAACCCAATCTGAAATTTGACGCGACCGCCCGCTTCCATCGTCTCACAATAACTGGAGCGTTCAAATCCAGGACGCGCCCGCCGAAGAGCATCGGCAAATCCGAGTTGTGAGCAGGGACCGGCCGTCCCGGCATTCCGATAGGTCTACCACGACATATTCTTTTGGAGCAAAAGAATGTTCTAGGATCCAACACATGTGTTCTTAGAGCATACAACCGATGCGCTGAGACAAGACAGTCTCGGCCAGCCAAAAAACACCTTGCGACGGCCCAAGAGGACCAGGCCACGAGAGGCCCCAAGAGGCCCCCAAGGGGCTCCCCCAAAAACCCAAGAGGCCTCCAAGAAGTCCCCAAGAAGCCTCCAAGAGGCCTCAAATATGCCCCCACAAGGCCACCCAACGGTTGGAGTTTAATGCTATTTTTCTCCCCCTGGGCGAACTGCGGCGCAGCGCCAGCCAGGTGGAAGTTGGTCACGGCGGCGCCCATGATTAGAGCCAGCGCCGGAAGGGAAGATGGGGATAGAGTATGAGAAGGAGGGGGGGGGAGGCCCCAAAGAAGTCCCCAAGAGGCCCAAAGAAGCTCCCAAGAGGCCTCCAGGAGGCCCCCAGGAAGCTCCCAAGAGGCCCCGCGACGACGTGACTGTACGTGCTCGGGACGTGCACCCCCATGTCCATTGCCTCCTTCCTCCCTGCCCGTGTTTCAGGGGCTGCGCCTTTTACGCGTGGCAGATGGGGAAGATATGTCCAAAGGGGGGTACGATCGACGACGAAGAGGGCGGGTATCGATGGTTTAGGGTATACATGTTGAATGGCGCGCGAGCAAGTAATAATGAATAGTGCCAAAATGATTGAACTCTATATTCTGAAATTAATTCTTGTTGACCCCCCCCCGTGCACCTGGAATTTCTTCAATAGGAGTGCTCAAATGAAAATGCTCCTCCCAGGGCTCGCTCACGCTTCAACAACCTGCCTGCTCGACCTGACCGTCTGGGCCCGCCTTCCCGACCCGCCCGGTAGGGTCTACCTGCCCGATCCGCCCGCCTGGTTCTGCCACGTGGTTTCTGCTCCTACCTAGCCCCCCTCATGCTGATCTCGGCAGGGAAGATATCCCTAACGGGGTACGATCGAAGACGGAAAGGGCGGGTATCGGGGGCTGGGGATATACGTGTTGAGTGGCACCCGAGCAGGTACGAGCGAGCAGTTCTAAAATGATGGTTGGAATCTCACTTCCAAAGAATAACTATTGCTGATCACCCTCGGTCCCCATCGTGCTTTTTGTTCCATTCACGTGCTCCTCCTGGGGCTCGCAGCCCTGGAATTCTATAAGGGGAAATCTTGGGCCTCAGAACGGGCTGTTAAGCCCCGGACTACAACAATCGTTTTAAAACTGTTCGCTCTCACCTGCTCGCGCGCCACTCAACACGTATATCACAAACTCTCGGTACCCGCTTTCTTCATCTTCGATCGTACCCCAGGGTGTGTCTGTGTATATATATATATATAAGTATTACCTACATGCCTCGTGTCACGGGTGTAACCCAATAAGAAGCGGAATAATGACGGATGGAAAGGGGGAGGGAGAAGGATGGAACACGGGATCAACAGGAGGGGGGCTAGGAGCAGAAAACATGTGGCAGATCCAGACGGGCGGATCGGGCAGGTAGATCCTAACGGGCGGGTCGGGTAGGCGGGTCCAAACGGTCAGGTCGAGGAGACGGGTTGCTGAGGCGTGAACGGGTCCTGTATGACTTGCGAGGAAATCTCAAACGATACCCGTTGTCCCTTTCCCCCTCCTTCCCCTGTTTTAGGGCTTGCGCTCACTACACGTGGCAGGTACAACAAGACTATACCCCTAATGGGGGTACGATCGAAGACGAAGAGGGCAGGTATCTAGGGTTTGGGATATACAGGTTGAGCGACACGCGAGCGGAAGAAAACGAACAGTCTCAACAGTATGGTTGTTGTTGTTGTTGTTGTTGTTGTTGTTGTTGTTGTTGTTGTTGTTGTTTTCCTTGGCTTTCCATTTCCCCACATGCCAACCCTCTCTTGGTTGGGTTCTCCTTTTGAATAGAGCACCGTGGTCTCCATCACTCACTCCTCCCCCTCCTCCTTCCTCCCTCATTTCTCCTCCTCATCCTCCTCGTTTTCTTCTGCCTCCTCCCTGCCTCGTGGACTACTCCCAATCATCCCTTGGTTGAGTTCTTGGTTTGAATAGCACCGACCTCCTTCTTCTCCTTTTCCTCCCCGTCCTCCCGCCTTCCCCCTTCTCCCTCCTCTCCCTCTCTCCTCCTGCCTGCCTTCTGCCTCCGGCCTCGTGCCCGCGGCTACCTCGGGGGCTGTGATCTGCGAAACGGTCGCGACTTTCGTCGGCTCCTGGGAGTTCCAGCAGACTGACGTCCTACGGGGATCCGACGAGGCCTCGCTGTCCTTGGGGGGCTGCGATCTGCGAAAGTGTCGCCACGCTCGTAAGTTCCTGGAAGTCCAGCGGAGGGGTGTCTCACGGGGGCCACCATGAGACCTCGCCGTCCCTGCGGGGCTGCGATCTGCGAAACTGTCGCCACGCTCGTCAGTTCCTGGAAGTCCAGCGGAGGGGTGTCTCACGGGGGCCACCATGAGACCTCGCCGTCCCTGGGGGGCTGTGATCTGCGAGTCTGTCGCCACTTTCATGGGCTCCTGGGAGGTCCAGCGGATGGGTGTCTCATGGGGACAACCATGAGACCTCGCCGTCCCTGGGGGGCTGCGATCCTCGAAACTGTCGCCACGATCGTGGGCTCCTGGGAGGCCCAGCGGAATGACGTCATACGTAGATCAGACCGAAACCTCGCCGTCCCTGCGGGGCTGCGATCTGCGAAACAGTCGCACTCTGCTGGGCTCGTGCGATGCGCTGCTACTCCCACGAAACATGTCTCTAGTTTCCCCCCATCAGTATGTTTCCATGCCCCCTCGTGGTCGCTTTCCTGCCAACGATCTGATTCTTAAGAGTGATGCCGCCCGCGGATGTGAAACATCTGACTGTAGCCCAACGTTCTTTGGTGTAGCGTTCAAGAGCACGGCGGATCCTTCAGTGCTTGCTTTTGTGTTGAGAGGTCCGATGTATAATCGCCTCATGCGTACAAAGGGTTGGGTACGTCCCCGGTTAATTTGCGGATCGTTCCTCTCAGGGCCCATTGCGTCTTTCAACTGACTGAGGTGCTCCCCTCATGGAGGTTGCACCTTCTTTCTAATAAGGGAATGTCGTAGGCTTCAGATTGTGTTGCTGGTTCCCTGTTTACTGCAACAGCGGCTCTCACTTGATAGTTCCTCACAATGTATTCTAAATCGCGGCCTTGCGAAGGACTTCCTCGCACTGTATCCAGGAATCGCGCTCCCGCGGCGTGGCATGTCCCAGCAACTTGCTGCGGCTCCGCGCCTTCGACGCTCGAACCATGCCCTCGCCCTGGACTTCCTTACGATTTGTTTGGGACTCGCGCTGTCGCTCGAGCCTTCCTCACGTTTCATCTCGGACTGGCGCTTCAACGACCCGCCCGCCCGACCCGGCCGTCGGGGCCCGACCGCCCGGCTCGCCCGCCATGGTCCGCCCGCACGAGCGCACGTCTGGCTCTGCCGCGCGTGCTCCTGCTCTGGGTCGTCCTGCTGCAAGTCAAGCCTCCAGCGCTCCATCCCTCTCCCTCCCCCCGTGCCTCCTCCCTCCCTCCCTCCCTTACCCTGTTCTAGGGGTTGCGCCAACTACACGTGGCAGGTGAGCAAGCTGTGCCCTCAAGGTAGACACGATCGAAGACGAAGAGGGCGGGTATCGAGGGTCTGGCATATACAGGTTGAGCGACGCGCGAGCATAAGAACGCGACCAGTCTGGCATCTGTTGCTGTCGTTGTGGTGGTGGTGGTTGTGGTGGTGGTCGTGTGTGTGGTTGTGTGTGTGTGTGTGTGCGCTGCTTTTTGTTTCTATCACCGCGCACGAGGTGTCCTGGGGAGGTCCGCTTCGCCATTCCTGCGCCTCCTGCCCCCGGAAGTGGCCCAAGTTGCCTTGGAGGTCATGCCGCGAGTCCACCCGCCCGACCTCAATTGACCTCGAGTGCGCCTCTGTCAGCCCTCGGCCACAACAGCTCTTCGCTGGGCGTCGGCGGCGGCTTTGACCTCGAGTGCGCCTCTGTCAGCCCTCGGCCACAACAGCTCTTCGCTGGGCGTCGGCGGCGGCTCTAACCGCTCTGAATTGTTCTCTTTGCTCGAGAGGGGCAAAGACAGAGAGAGAGAGAGAGAGCAGGGACTGAGGGAGCTGAGCGGGGGGACAGGGATGGGGGAAGATGAGGAGGAGGGGATGAAAGGGAGGGAGGTAGAGATGAGCGCAGTAGGATGGTGGTGTAGGGGGCTTGGGGCGGGCGGGGGATGATGGGAGGAGGCTGAGAAAGAAGTGATGGAGGAATCCGCCGATCCCCGCTTGCCGTGTCTTGATGTGTATGTGTATGTGTATGTGAATGTATGTGTGTGTGTGTATGCGTATGTGTGCGCGTGTGTGTATGTGTATGTGTATGTGTATGTGTATGTGTATGCGTATGTGTATGTGTATGTGTACGTGTATGTGTATGTGTATGTGTATAAGTATGTGTGTGTGTGTGCGTGTGTGCGTGAGTATGTGTGTGTGTTGTGTGTGTGTGTGTGTGTGTGTGTGTGTGTGTGTGTGTGTGTCTGTGTCTGTGTGTGTGTGTGTGCGTGCGCGCGCGTGTGTGTGTTTTTGTGTGTGTGTGCGCGCGTGTGTGTGTGTGTGTGTGTGTGTGCTGGCTGCCTCCCTCCCCCTTGCACTCTCCCCAGGGGTCCGACTTCCCTAAAAAGGGGGGGGGGCGGGGGGTGCGGCCGGGCATTCGCGAGGACTCCGCCCGGGCACTCGGCGCCTTCAGGTCCACACTCCGTCGCCTCCCAAATGCCCTCCAAGACGGGGCGAGAAGGGCTCCAATGCGTCGGAGACGCCTCCGTAACATCCAGGACGGCTTCAGGCCAAACCGAGCTGCGGACTCCAAGAGGACCCACAAGGTAACCTCAAGAGGCAACAACACTTGATTGTCCTCGTGATTTGGAATGGTTTTCGTATTCTCGCCTTTTCGGGGAACTTGATAACCCAAGATTGCTCGATGAGCCCCTCCAGACAGGCCCAAGACGGCCGAGGAGGCCCATAAGAGTCCAGGTGGCCTAAGAAGGTCCCAAGACTGCCCCAGAGACCCCCGAGACGGCCAAAAAGGCCTCTCGGAAGGGCAAAGGAGAGATGCCCAAACTGGGGAACTCGATAAAGGGGCCCTGGGAGCCCTCGCCCCAAAAGATGGCACCCAAGACTTGTAACATGCCCCCATGAGGCCCCCAAGAACCCCCTCAGATGGCCCCCCTAAAAGCCCCGAGGAGCCCCGAAAAGGTTTCCAAGAGGCCGCCCCCCAAGGCCTAAAGGAGGCACCCAGAAGGCACCTGGCGGGGAGGACGAGGAGGGCAAGCCAGCAGCAACTGCACGCAGGCAGCACGACGGGACGCGGCAAGCATCCACGCAGTCGGATACCGCACACCTGCGCTGCTGGGGGTCGGCGGGATGGCGTACGTCTCGCAAGTTGTGGAGGAGGGAAGGGGCGTGCGGATGGGGAGAGGACAGGATTAGGAGGAGCCGGAGGGGGGATGAGGCGGATGAGGATGAGGATGAGGATGAGGCGAATGAGGAGGCAAGAAGGAGGGAGGACACTGATGCAGGAAGGAGGAGTCAAGAAGGGGATGGACAATAAGGGAGGACAGATGACAGGTACACGTGACAAGACACCTGGCTAGAAGAAGTCCAGGGGCACGCTCGTCGTAAAATCTTAGTCTCCCTGAGATGCCTCGCCACTGTTGTAGGGAGGGGGTGATAATGTGGAGATGCAGAGGAGAATGAAAGGGGGGGGAGGAAGGGAGAAGGGCTGATCAGTAGGAGGAGGAGGAGGAGGAGGAGGAGGAGGAGGAGGAGGAGGAGGAGGAGGAGGAGGAGGGGAGCAGGAGTGGCAGGCACCAGGTGACCGGATGCATCAAGGCTGCTGCAAGGCGCCCATCCGTTCCCCGCCCCCCTCCCGAGCTGTCTCAGCACGGCTTCCCCTCTGCTGCGGGAACGTGCCCCCTGGAAAGAGGAGCGCCCCACGGTCCTGCCCTCCGGGCGGAGGCCACGTCGTGAGAAGCAGCTGCCGCGCCCGCCTCTAGCCGGAAGGGCCCCGACGATGCAGGATCAGACGATGCAGGGTGCGAGAGTCCCGCTTCGACAAAAAGAGCCACCCTCAATCCGCACAGGTTTGCTCTCGACTGTTGCACGCCCGGCCACACTGGCTAACAGGATCTCAAGCTGAAGCCCCGATTCCAAGGGGAGCCCCCTTCCATCCGTGCAGCAGTTGCACCGTATTCGGCCTTTGATCCGCCGCCACCCTGCCTGCCCTGAGGCACGAGTTGGAGTGTTCTCAAGTGGAGCGTGAACAAGAAGTGGGCGTGCTGGGCCGTAGCCCGTGGCCTTGCCTCTGTCGGCGCGCCAATGGCACGTAGCCCGTGATTTAATCAATGCGAAAACCGGCGGCGGCTGCCGCTGGCGAAGCGCCAGGCCCGGGCGTCGGGTCAGCCGTGGTGGTGGGGGGGAGCGCGAGGGAGGGGGAGCGTGAGTGTTCTCAAGTACTTTGGGAACCTGCGTCCTCAATCCTGAAGATTCCTGAAAGGGCCCACCGACTGGAATTCCAGGCGCCCTTGGACGCTCCCGGGTCTTGTCGCATGTTTTTGTTCTGGAGCCGAGAGGAGCCCAAGAGGCCCCCAGGGACGGTCCAAGATGGCCCCGAGTCGCCGAACGATCAAAATTACCTCCAGAAGGCCCAAGAGGTCTACCAAAGGCCCCAAGAGAGCCCCACGAGCCCCCCACAAGAGGGCCCCGGGAGGCCACGTTCATTCCTGTCTGAAGGTTTCAAACGTTTGAGCGGTCTCACTTTTTCGGCCTTTCAACCGACCAAGACCGCCCAAATAGGCCCCCAAGATCGCCTCAAGCCGGCCCAAGAGGGCCCCGCGAGCGCCCCAAGACGACCCAAGAGGGCTCCAAGACGGCCCGAGAGGTCCCCGAGACAGCCCCAAGAGGGACCCGAGGGGGAAAGCGAAGGTGCTCTGGGACCAAGATAGCCCCAGAGACCGCCAAGAAGCGCCGACGAGGCCCCAAGAGGCTCCAAAAGGCCCCTGAGAGGCCCCCTAAGATGCCTCATAATGCTCCCAAGAGTTATCCAAGAGGGAGACGCCCCATGAGGCCCCCGAGAGGGCCTCTGATCCACAACCCACGCACGAGGGATCGACGCCCGTGGGATGGACATGACCCAAGTGGTACCACTTGGATACCACTTGAAGCATCTAGCTTGCATCCACGCGGGAAGCATTACAATCATATCCCGAGGCTTCCAAGAGACCCCAGCAGACATCCAAATTACGTCTGAGCCACTACTTAGGCACGGTGGTAGGCTTGACCGACAATTATCACGAAAACTAGCACGAAACTTCGACCTTGAAAAAGAGGGAGCCGCTATACATCCGCTGTTGAAGCTTTACTTGCGAATGTGCGCGGCGCAACGGCGAGAACAACATTCTGAAACAGAGCCACCCTCCATCCGTGCACCAGTTGGCAACTTTGATGACGCAGGGGGGCGGCGCTAAGGCGAGATACACATTATGAGAAAGACCCATGCTCCCTCCGTATAACTGTCGGAAGCTTTTAGACACATGTGCAAAGCGAGAACCATATTTTGACCACTCCTCCGTCCGCATGTCATTTGGTAATTTCAAGCTTCGGCGTCATAGACTGGGGGAAAGTCTCAGGCAAAACGCCTGGCCCGCTCTAACGACACGTCTGCTGGTCACACGTGGAAGAGTCCCGTGTAATGAAATGGGAACGGGTGAGGGAAAGGAGCAGAGGGGGTGGAGGAGGAGGAGGAGAAGGCAGAGGAGGAGGCGGAGGAGGAGGAGGAGGAGGAGGAGAAGGAGGAGGAGGAGGAGGAGGAGGATGACGATGGGGAGGAGGAGGAGGAGGAGGAGGAGGAGGAGGAGGAGGAGGAGGAGGAGGAGGAGGAGAGGAGGAGGAGGAGGAGGAGGAGGAGGAGGATGAGGAGGGGAGGAGGAGGAGGAGGAGGATGAGGAGGAGGAGGAGGAGGAGGAAGAGGAGGAGGAGGAGGAGGAGGAGCAGGAGGAGGAGGGAGGAGGAGGAGGAGGAGGAGCAGGAGGAGGAGACGCGCTGCTGATGATGCTGAGGAGGAGGAGGAGGAAATGGGGAGGAGGAGGAGGAGGAGGAGGAGGAGGAGGAGGAGGGAGAAAGATGAATCGGAAGGAGGAGGGGGAGGATGAGGCGGGCGGAGGCGGATGATCATGATGATGAGGAGGAGGCATGGGGGCAGGAGGGATGTGACGAGGAGCAGGAGGAAGGCCAGGCCGCGCTGGAAAAACACGCCAGAACGGAGCGCGGACCAGGCAGGTCGATACCCCCGCCGCCGCGCTGCCGCGCGCCCTGGCGAGAAAGCGCTCCATCCTTTTCCCTCCTCCTCGTGAGCCGCTCCGTCTCATCGTCTGCAGACCCCCTCATCCTCCCCTCTGCCTCGTCGTGATCCGTCCTTCCTCCTCCTCCTCCTCCTCCTCCTCCTCCTCCTCATCCTTCTTCTACTGCTCCTCCTCCTCCTTCTACCTCATCTCCTGGCCCCCTCCCGGGCCAGTGAGGTCTTCCTCCTCCTCCTCCTCCTCCTCCTCCTCCTGCTCCTGCTCGTCTTCCTGAGCCCCTTCTCCTCCGCCTGCTCGTCGTCGTCGTCGTCGTCGTCGTCGTCGTCGTCGTCGTCGTCGTCGTCGTCAGCGTCAGCGTCGTTGTCGTTGTCAGCGTCGTCGGCGTCGGCGTCGGCGGCGTCGGCGTCGGCGTCCTTCTCCTCCTCCTCTTCCTCCCGCCTCTCGTCTCCGAGGATGACGAGGAGGAAAAAGAGGAGGAGGATGAGGAGCTCCCACTCCTCCTTCCTCCTCCTCCTCCTGCTCCTCCTCCTCCTCCTCCTCATCATCCTCTTCCTCGTCGTGGTCGTCGTCGTTGTCGTCGTCGTCGTCGGCGTCGTCGTCGTCGCCGTCGTCGTTGTCGTCGTCGTCGTCGTCGTCGTCGTCGTCGTCGTCGTCGTCGTCGTCATCCTCCCAATCCTCCTCCTCTTTCTCCTCCTACTCCCCCTCCTGTAATTACACCCTCCTCCTCCTCCTCCTCCTCCTCCTCCTCCTCCTCCTCTTCCTCCTCTTTTTTCCCCCCTCCTCTCCTCGAGCCGCTGGCCCCTGACCGCCAGCGTGGCGCTCGAGGGCCTCTGCGGGAAGGCTCCCCGCGCAGCGGGGAGAAGATGGCCCCGGATGGTCCTGTCCAAGCACGGTGGTGTAAGATGTTCTCTGCGCTCGTGTGCCGGCAGGCGATGCGAGGCGGGGATGCATCAGTATCGACCGCCTGCGGAATCCAACGTCCTGGGACCCCAGCGGGAGGGGGAGGCTTCTTAGAAGGTTGCTTCTCAGAAGGCGCCGGCCTTACTCCTCCAGATAAGGCCCGCGCCTACTAAGAAGCAAGGGTGCTTCTAAGAAGCCTTCCCCCTTCCCCTCCCCCCTCTGCGCGTGACTGGGTCTTTCGCGATTTGACATGGCAACCTTGCGCCGCGGCTTGCTTGGGCCGCCAGCGCGGCACACCACATTGGAACCGAGGCCGCTTACGCGCGACCTGACGCGGGCAGCTTGCGCGCCAACGTCGGCGAAGGCGACCCGTTTCCCTCCGTCGCTCAGGTGGTTTGGACCCGCCATCGCAGGACGATGCCCACGCCGCACGATCACACTAAAAGTTTCAAAAGACTGCCGGGGCCTTCGCCCCAGCGCGCGCCCGCGCAAAGCCACGGCCGCCCGCGCGCCTGGCTGGCCACGCGGCCGGCGCCGGCTGGCGCTCACCACGCGCGGCCGACCCCGCCGCTCTGCGCCTGCGCCGCGCGCTTCACCCGCCGCATCTGCGCCGCGTCGGGCGAGCTGGGCTCGTCCCGCGGCCCGCGGTCGTCCTGCGCGTGGAGGGGGGCGTCGAGGTGGGGCAGGGGCCGGCGTGGGGTTGGAACACGTGAGCGTCCAGCCGCGTTCGCTCCCAGGCCCTGGCGGCGCAAAGACGAGGCCCTGAGGGATGGGGACGAGAACCTCATGCAGTGCATGCTGACCTCGTGGTCCACTTCCTCTCCTTGTGGCCCCGTCCCTCAGGGCCCCGTCTTTGAGCTGCGGACTGCCCCACCTTGGCGCCCCGAGCCCATCCCCGTCCGCGGCTGTTTTCGGACCTCAACTCGGGTCTCCGGCCGCCGTCTGGGACATTCCAAGCAGGCGAGGCGCAGCCGCTGGAAGGCATCCAGAGGCTGGACAGCCGCCGAGAACCGACGAAAACGCCCAGAAACCTTGAACCACGATTCCCCCCCCTCGAGGTTGCTTGGGAGGGGTGGGACGCGTCGGGGCGGGGTGGCGCTGCGATCTCGCCATAGTTTGCGCGCGAACAACAGCATGTGTGTGTGTGTGTATGTGTGAGTGTGAGTGTGAGTGTGAGTGTGTGTGTGTGTGTGTGTGTGTATGTGTGTGTGTGTGTGTGTGTGTGTGGGGGCCAGGCGCCAGGCCCTCACGCACGATCGCGACCCCTCGCCCGGGGAAGGGGGGGGGGTCTGGCCCGGGGGGGATGCCCTGCGCGCCAGAGGCGAAAACAGAGAGCACCTCCTCCCCGATCCTGCGGCTTCCCGGTCTGAGGGCCACACGTGTCCAGGCCGTCGAGCTCCCGCTGCGACATCCCGCCGCCGCCGGGCGGCTGCCGCGGCTGCCCCGCTGCCCGCGGCGCCCCGGCCGCGCCCGGCCAGCCGCCGCACGGCGGCGCTCCCCCGCGAGCCCTGGCGCGCGCTCGGGAGAACGGCGACAGGTCCTCGGAGAAAGGAGAAGGTACTGATACCGCGACCCTCGCTTCGTTTTCGCCATTTTGGGCCTCCTGGGAGGCCCTCGTCGCCATGGCTGGACTCGCCTCGAGACTCTGATCAGCACACACACCCCAGGAGCGGTCCGTAGAGTAGCGGCATCAATGCCTCTTGGTTTATCCCAGGAGCGAGGAGCGAGGAGGATCAGGCAATGGGTAGGGGTAGGAGGATGAGGACGAGGAGCAGGCAGAGCGTAGCGACCAGGAGGGAGGGAGGAGGAGGGATGATGATGCTGCTGCTGTTGCTGCTGCTGTGGAGGAGGAAGAGGAGGAGGAGGAAGAGGAGGAGGAGGAGGAGGAGGACGAGGAGGAGGAGGAAGAGGAGGAGGAGGAGGAGGAGGAGGAGGAGGAGGAGGAGGAGGAGGAGGAGGAGGAGGAGGCAGAGAGGGAGGAGGAGCAGGAGGAGGAGGAGGAGGAGGAGGAGGAGGAGGAGGAGGAAGAAGAGGAGGAGGAGGAGGAGGAGGAGGAGGAGGAGGAGGAGGAAGAGGAGCAGGAGGAGGAGGAGCAGGAGGAGGAGGAGGATGAGGATGATGATGAGGAGGAGGAGGCAGAGAGGGAGGAGGAGTCCTCCGCGCGGCTGCCGCTGGCCGGCCATGGCACCAGCGGCGCGGCGACCGTGAGGCCGAGCGGCGCCGCCGGACCACCCGCGCGCGCGCGGGAGAACGGCGAGAGGTCCTCGCCAGGCGGCGTGCCGGCGCGCGGCGCGCCGGCGCGCGCGCGGGAGAACGGCGACAGGCTCTGCTGGGGGGCGCCCTGCGCAGCGCGTGGCTGCGCCGCAGGCCGCGTCGCGTGGCCCTGGTGGCTGTCGTGCGCCCGCTTCGCCCGCAGCATCTGCGCCGCGTCGGGGGAGAACGGCTCCTCCGGCACCCGCGCGGCAGGGAGGCTCTCGGTGACGCCGATCTGGTCCAAGTCCTCCTGGCGCATGCCGATGTCCTCTGGGGGACCCTCCAATGCTACATCGACACGCGGCACCGTGGCAGCCGGCGTCGCGTGCCCCTGTTGGCTCGCCTGCGCCCGTTTCACACGCCGCATCGTTGCCGCGTCGGGGGAGCTCGGCTCCTCTGGCGCCAACGTGGGGGAGAGGCCCTCATCAAACTGGTCCAGCATCTCCTGGCGGAGACCGTTCTCCTGCGGCAGCTGGGTGGCCTTCCATGCCTCTTGTGCCGATGGCGGCGCAGCAGCCTGCATCGCGTGCCCCTGTTGGCTCGCCTGCGCCCGTTTCACACGCCGCATCGTTGCCGCGTCGGGGGAGCTCGGCTCCTCTGGCGCCAATGTGGGGGAGAGGCCCACGTCAAACTGGTCCAGCATCTCCTGGCGGAAACCGTTCTCCTGCGGCAGCTGGGTGGCCTTCCATGCCTCTTGTGCCGATGGCGGCGCAGCAGCCTGCATCGCGTGCCCCTGTTGGCTCGCCTGCGCCCGTTTCACACGCCGCATCGTTGCCGCGTCGGGGGAGCTCGGCTCCTCTGGCGCCAATGTGGGGGAGAGGCCCTCGTCAAACTGGTCCAGCATCTCCTGGCGGAAACCGTTCTCCTGCGGCAGCTGGGTGGCCTTCCATGCCTCTTGTGCCGATGGCGGCGCAGCAGCCTGCGTCGCGTGCCCCTGTTGGCTCGCCTGCGCCCGTTTCACACGCCGCATCGTTGCCGCGTCGGGGGAGCTCGGCTCCTCTGGCGCCAACGTGGGGGAGAGGCCCTCGTCGAACTGGTCCAGCACCTCCTGGAGAGGTAGAAACTCACACCTTCACAGCACCTGAACGCCGAAGCTGCGTGAGAAGACCGATTCTGAGTCAACGCCCCACGGCGAGTGCACGGCACCGCACGCGGGCACGGGATGGATGGCACGCAGGCGCAGCACGGCACGCGCACGGCACGGCACTGCGGGCGGTACGCTTTTTGTTGTGTGATCTGGGGCGCAAGCACGGCACGGCAAGCGGTCTTCGAAAGAGAGAGAGATGCCCGCGCTTATAGCGGAACCGGGACCCCTATTCTCCAAGCGGTGCTTGCACGCAGGGGTTCTTACTTGCGCCACTCGAGTGCAAGTGCTGCTCGAAGGAACACTCGGGTCCCCCGAGCAACCACCGCGTGAGGTCCTCCGCGATTGCCTCGACAAGGGGGTCTGTGGCCCCGCCGGGGGGCTTCGGCCCCCGTGCCTCACGAGCTCCGCGTGCTGCGCGTTGGGGGTCTGTCAGGCTTCTGCCCCGCGTGTCCCGAGGGGTCTGCGTGCCCAGTGTGTCTCGTCGGCCTCGGGTGTGTGCCCAGCGTGCTCAGTGCGGGGCGGGGTCCTCTCGCGCCCTCGGGTGCCCCTGTGCCCCCTCCCCTCCTGTGCCACGCGACCGCGTGGTGCGCCCCCGCTGGCGCCCCCCCCTGGCTTCTGGCCCCCCGTGCCCCGTCAGCGAGGGGGAGCCGTAGGCGGGGACCAGCTCCTGGGGGAGGGGGCAACAAGCCGGAGTCGGCGATGCATCGCCGATGGACCGGCGACAGGCCCTCGCTCGCGAAACCGCCCGGTCCTGGGGGTGGGTCATCGGGCCCCTGTCGGCGATGACTGGGCGGTGGGGGCCGGTGCGTTCCGCCCTGAGCCTGCCCCCGCTTCCGTTGCTCCTGAGTCTGCCCCACTGGTGTGCCCTGTGTCCCCTTGCTGCCCCCGCCCTCGGCTTCTGGCCCTGCTTGCCCCGCACCGTGCCCCAACTGCCCCGCGGGGCCCTCCCCCTCCCGTTCGCCGCCTCCCCCAGCTTTTGGCCCCGCGCGTCCCGCCCTGCTGCCTCTTGGCCTCTCTGCGGCGCACAAGCCGTGCTGGACCGAACCCGCAGCTAAACTTTCGAAGTCTCGGGGGGTTCCCACGTGCTCCTGCCGGAAGCCGTCCCCCTGCGTCGCAGCAGCCGGCATCGCCTGGCCCTGCCGCAAGGGCGGCATCAGATTTGCCCATGCGCGTCTAAAGGAAGAGAACGGCCGACGCCAGCCCCACATCCCCCCCCCGTGATCCCCGCTGAGACCATCCCTGGGAAGTGCTCCAGGCCGAATCCATACGGCGGCGACGAAGGGGGGGCACAAAGCAACCAAGCACCATAACGACTATTAATAATCATTTTTCGTTACTTGGTTGCTTACTTACCTGGGAGCTCGTAGAACCTGTAGTCTGGATGCGCGATGAAGATGCGGCGGGCCCAAAGTTGGCCGAGGGAACCCTGTGCCTGAGGCGCTGCCCCGGAGGAGCGTCGCACCGCGTCAGCCTTGAGCTGCAGCCCGCCTCCCTGGATACAGTCAACCCGTAGAATAAGGATGCGCGATAAGGATGCAAGGGCCTCGGAAACTCATTTCGAAGTTTTCCGAGCGGGGCGCGGTCAACGAAAGTGGCCAAGGATGGACCGAGGAGGCAAGGATGCAGGGTACCCTTGGGAAGGTTGCCCATCCTTACTATGCGGGTTGACTGTACCCCGAGAGGCTGGCCAGCGAAATTGGCCAAGGCCGAAGAGGCAGGGACGACGAGGTTGGCTTGGACGGTTGCTTTACTTCCGGCGAGCCCCACCCGAAGACGCGAGGCGAGATCCCCAGGGAGCGCCGGGACACTTTGGGCCTGGCGGCCGCGGTCTGCAGTCGTCGTGTGTCGAAGACGCGACGCGAGATCCCCAGGGAGCACTGGCACGCTTTGGGGGCATGCCGGCCGCGGTGTGCAGGATGTGCGAGGCATGTCGGCATCTCCTGCCCTCAAGCCTAGCAGCCCCAGCTTGTCGGGCGAAGAACTGCGCATCCTCGGCAGGTTCGTGCCGTGCTGTTCGGCGGGTTCGTACCGTGACGACCTCGGCACTGGCCTCCGACGCTGCGTGGATCGCCCAACCCTGAACGATCGGCGCCGTCCAACAGCGCAGCTTCTTCCACACTGGCCGACTCTGGGCCTCTGGCAGCGCGCAAGCTTGAGCCGCTGCCGCGTCGGCACGACCCCAGCCCACCGCACGCGCACGAACCACACGGGTCCGGCTGTAAGCACATGGGGCAAAGAGGATCCCGCCTGGGAGCTGCCCTGCGCCCGCTTCACGCGCCGCAGCTGTGCCGCGTCGGGCGAGCTCGGCTCCTCGGGCGCCAGCGTCGGGGACATCCCCTCGCCGATCTCGTCCAGCAGCTCCTCGAGGAGCAGGGGCACCCAAATCGTTGTGTGCTGAACGTCGATGCACAGGGTGAAAAGCACACACATACATAATTCATCGTCGACTCCTACGAGAATATGGGAAACATGTGGGAAGTTGGGGGGAGGACGAAAACCAAGAAAATATGACAAATATGGTGAATCCTGGGATTTCTGTGTACATATCTGTGTCCCTGGGCTCCTTCAATGCAATAGACAGGTCGGATACGAAGTCTTGCACGCCGAAATCGATAACGGGCACTTTTGTCATCGAGCTTTGGGCTGCCTGAGATGCCCTATAGGGTTCGTGTGGGTCTCCTTGGCCATCGGGGGATAAGACACTTCCATGGGGCACCTCCTGTCATAGAAGGAGAAGAAACGCCATAAACATAAACTTTTGGCACTCCGCCCTGAATTCTTGGATCTGCGCTGAACCCCACTCCCTGGCGCGCGGAGCGCGCCAAGGGCGGCGCTGGAGGCGCCGCCAGGGGGCCCCAACGCGGATCCAGGAAATCCGCACGGAGCGCCAACAGTTTAGGCTTATGCCATTTTTTCCTCTTCGATCTCAGGCCACTTGATGTGCCTACTGTAGGCGCACATTTGCTCAATAGGCCTTAGACCGTTCCGATCCTCTCCAGCTGACGGCTTCTCGGGGTTTGGACCCAGAGCTCCTGGAGGAAGCCGTGCTCGTGAGGCGGCTGGGTGCCCTCCCGCGCCGTCTTGGCAAACGGCGGCGTAGCAGTCGCCATCGCCTGGCCCTGCGGTGAGGTCAACATTTGGATTTGCCAACGCGTGTCTACGGAAGCCCGACGCAGGATCAACACCGCCCCAGCGCATCTTTTGTAGAGATGGAGGAGGGATAGAAAAGAGAAGGCGCGACGACCATCCTGCCGATCCGCTCGTCACTTTGTCCACCGCTGGCTTCAGGAATGGAGCACGGAGCGATACGAACTAACCCTAGAGCGAAGAGACAACCCTGACGAGTGCTCCGAGCCGAGTCCATACGGGGGAAGGGGAGGGGGACAACGACGCGGCACCAGACAGGCCCAAACGGCGCATAGGTAAGCCTAGGGACACGTAGGACGGTGCCTGCTGGCTCGCCTGCGTCCGCTTCACACGCCGCAGCGTTGCCGCGTCCGGGGAGCTTGGCTCGCCCGGCGCCAACGTGGGGGGGGCCTCGCCAAGCTGGTCCAGCAGCTCCTCGAGGGGCCAGAAAGCGCATGATATCCAAATCCGTTGGGCTGAACTTGAATGGGGCTCCACTTGGCCAGCAGACTTCGTTCAAAGCGCGTTCGAACCACTCTGAATCCATTGCGCTTCGACTCCTTGAGGGTTCTGGCTCCGAGCTCCTGGCGGAAGCCGTCCTCATGAGGCGGCTGGCTGCCCTTCCACGCCTGCGCTGCCGAGGGCTGCGCGGTAGCCGCCATCGCCTGGCCCTGCGGTTAGGACGCAATACCATCATCGCCCCACCATCCTTGTCTGAGATAACCCTGGCAAGTGCTTCGAGACGAGTCCATACGAGAGGGAGAAGGGGGTTGGCACCATACGAACCCAAACGACGAATGTGTAAGCCTAAGCTGGCTCGCCTGCGCCCGCTTCACCCGCCGCAGCGTTGCCGCGTCCGGGGAGTTCGGCTCTCCTGGCGCCAACGTGGGGGAGAGGCCCTCGCCAAGCTGGTCCAGCATCTCCTCGGGGGGCCAGAGATTGCAGTACAAGCGATCTCGGTTTGTCCGGACTTGAACGGGGATCTTTCTACTTGGCCTGCAAGCTTCGTTCAAAGCACGTTCCATTCCGCTTCGACTCCTTGGGGGTTCTGGCTCCGAGCTCCTGGCAGAAGCCGCCCTCATAAGGAGGCTGGGTATTCTCCTGCGTTGCTACGCTATCGTCTGGGCCTGCGGGAAGGCGCACATCCGATCTGCTACCGAGAGTCCAAGGGTCTTTTTTTCGCCTCTGGCCGACGCAGGCCCAACACCACCGCAAAAACACTTCCCTGAGGCAGTCTGGACCAGTGCATCGAGCCGAGCCCTTTGCTGGGGACGAAGGGTGGCACCAATCAGCCCCACACGAAGATATTGTCAGCGTGGACCTCCAAAAGTCAGTTCTTCCAGTCGCGAGGGGCCAACTACGTGCAGCAAACTGTGCTTGGTGGCAACTTCTGCGCGGCAGTCTTTGCGGGGCACCCCATGGGCTGCGACGAGGGAATCGCAACAGCTGGGGCCATCGAGGACCCTGGACCCTTCGGGCGGCCACCAGGAAATCGCAGCAGCCATTGCCAACTGGACGGGGGACCCCACGGGTGGTCACCAGGACATCGTAACAGCCAGAGCCAGCGGGACCCGGGATTCTCGTTGGACAGCTGCAAGACAATCGCAAGCGTCAGCACCAATTCCTGTCGGAGCGCATACGGCCGTCTGAATGCACGCACTGTTGGGGGAAATGAGTGGGTCTATGAACAAATAAGACGCCGCCTGCTGGCTTGCCCGCGCGCGCCTGCTTCACACCCCGCAGAGTTGCCGCGTCCGGGGGGCTCGGCTCTCCCTGCGCCAACGTGGGGGAGAGGCCCTCGCCAAGCTAGTCCAGCAGCCCCTCGAGAGGCCTGAACATACGGTACAGGCAAACACTGCTTTTCTGAACTTGAACGGGGATCTACCTACTTGGCCTACAGACGTCGCTCAAAGTAAGTTCGAGCCACTCCAAACTCATTGACCTTCGACTCCTTGGGGGTTCTGGCTCCGAGCTCCTGGCGGAAGCCGTCCTCATGAAGCCGCTGGGTGCCCTCCTGCGCCGTCTTGGCCAATGGCGGCGCGGCGGCCAGCGCCGTCTGGCCCTGCGATAAGGCAGGCATCCGATTTGCCCACGAGCACCAAAAGAAAGAGCCCCCTTCTACGCTCCTGGCCAACGCAGGCCCAGCATCACCGCAAGACCCCCTCTCCCTGAGACAGCCCTGACCAGTGCTTCGAGCCGGGCCGACGTGGTGGGGACGAAGGGTGGCACCAATCAACCCCAAAACTGAGAGACCTGTCAGCGTGGACCTCAAGCTGTCAGTTCTTCCAGTCGCGAGGGGCAACCTATGTGCAGCAAACTGTGTTTGGTGGCAGTGTATGTGCAGCCGTCTTTGAGGAACCCCTATGGGCTGCGACGAGGGAATCGTCAAGGCCAGCGCGGACCCTGGACCCTTCGGGCGGCCACCAGGAAATCGCAGCAACCAGGGCCAGCGGGGCATGGGACCCCTCCGAGCGGCCACCAGGAAATCGCAGCAGCCATGGCCAGCTGGACTGGGGACCCCACGGGTGGTCACCAGGACATCGCAGCAGTCAGAGCCAGTGGGACCCAGGTTCTTGTTTCGGCTACGCGCAAGAGTGACCCTGGGTAAGAGTGATCTTTGGTGCGCGGCTTTTTGGGGGCCGCGGGGGGACCAAACACAAGCGCGCAAGACGCTGCTATTGCATCGCGTTCGGCGATCGGGGGACCCCAATGAGCCTGCACCAACGGTCACTCCTGCGAAGGGTCACTCTTACGTGTAGTCGATTGTTGGGCAGCTACAAGGCAATCGCGAGCGTCAGCACCACTTCCTTTCGAATCGGATCGCGGGCCAGCGGGACCAGGGCCAGGGAACCGGAATCGCAACAGCCAGGGCCAGCGGGACCACGGCCAGCGCGGACCTCACGCCGTGGATTCTTCCAGGTGGGAGGGCTCTGCGGCACGGCCCGCATCCGCAAGCCCCCCCACCGAGACCAGTCCTGACCACTGCCCCGAGCCGAGCCCAGCATGGTGGCGGCGGAGATCTAAATGCGAGCACAGGCAGGGCATCGCCCGGCCCCCGGGACGGCCCAATGTGGCCTCAAGACGCTCGCGTGTGGACGCAAGGTGGCGCGAGACGGCCCAAGGTGGCGGCAATACAGCCCGAGATGGCCCCACAGCGGCCCGAAAGGCTCCCAAAACAGCCCAAGCGGACTCCGATCATGATGAGGATGAGGATGAGGATGAGGATGAGGATGAGGATGAGGATGAGGATGAGAATGATGATGATGATGATGATGATGATGATGATGATGATGATGATGATGATGGTGCTGCTGCTGCTGATGATGATGTTTGATGCTGATGCTGATGCTGATGCTGATGATAATGATACTGATGATGCTGCTGCTGATGATGACCAGGATAGGAGGAATATTAGGATGACGATGACGATGACGATTACGACGACGATGCTGATGAGGCTGATGATGATGCAGATGCTGCTGCTGATTGTTGTGATGACGATGTTGATGTTGATGCTGATGCTGCTGCTGATGATAGTGTTGCTGATGATGACGACCGTAGTACTGACAAATTACTGATACTGATACAGATGATGCTGAAGATGATGATGATGATGATGCTGCTGATGATGATGATGCTGATGCGGATGATGATGCTGCTGCTGCTGATGATGATGATGATGGTTATTGTGATGGTGACGGTGCTGATGATGATGACGATGATGCTGATACTGATGCTGATCATGAAGATGACGACGATTCTGATATTGATATGTGTTTTGCTGATGCTGATTAGGATGATGATGCTGATGATGCTGAAGATTATGCTGATGATGCTGATGATGGTGCGGATGATGCTGATGATGATGTTGCTGATGATGACCATGCTGACGATTCTGATGATCATGATGATGTTGCTGATGCTGGTGATGATGCTGATGATGCGGATGGTGACATATTCAATGATGACGATGCTGGTGATGCTGTTGTTGGTGGTGGTGCTGATGCTGATGCTGATGCTGATGCTGATGCTGATGCTGATGCTGATGATGATGATGATGATGATGATGATGATGATGATGATGATGATGATGATGATGATGATGATGATGATGATGATACTGATGATGGTGCTGCTGCTGCTGATGATGATGTTTGATGCTGATGACGATGCCGCTGCTGCTGCTGCTGATGATGATGATGCTGAGGAGGAGGAGGAGGAGGAGGAGGAGGAGGAGGAGGAGGAGGAGGAGGAGGAGGAGGAGGATACCTTTCGGCGGTCATGGTGGTGGCCCCCGAACGACCCCAACGGCCCCCAAGTCAGCCCACGAAGGATCCCCCCTCAGGACGCCGAGAATGGCAACCAGAACCTCCAGTGCTGCTCTTTGGGGCCGAGCCGACGGACGTCTGGGGATGGCGATGTAGGACGCCGCCCCGGTCGCTGGCGAAATCGGAACTCTGCCCTCGCTGGTCAGCGATTCAAGCAACTCGATGGGCGGCGGGGGTCGGGCTCGGGATTCGTCGAACACGCGGCAGAATCCGAACCCTACCACTGCCTCCCATCGAGAGAGAGAGAGAGAGAGAAAGACAGAGAGAGAGAGAGAGAGAGAGAGAGAGAGCGAGAGAGAGAGAGAGAGAGAGAGCGAGCCGTGCACTTCCGGGGTGCGCTGGCACTGGTAGCACTCGCGCTGCTACCGGTGCTCAGAAGCAGCGGCGCCTGGCAGCTGTGCGCCACGCGTGCGCGGGACCCGGTCACCCAAACATGCGACGTCCTGATTTTTTCAAGACGGCGTCCCCGGAAGACCCGACCCTTTCCCCGGGACCGGTTTCTCGTCCTGAGTCGTTTTTTCACGGTCCCGAGGCCCGGCGGGGTCCCCCCAGGGCCGAAAATAGCCAAAAACCTCCCGTCCTGATTTTTTACGACGCGATCATGTCTGGGCACAGGTCTCGCAGCGGTGCTGTGCACACCTGCTGCCCGGCAGGCGAGGTCGTACCTGCACCGGCTCCAAGCATTTCTCTGGGCCGGCCGCGCCTGCGAGGGCCACGTGTGGGGGAGAGTCGCCGGCCTCCCAGCGATTCAGGAGAACCGACGGCTGGTGGGGGTAGAGGCCCAGAGATCCGAGGTCGTAATTTTTTCCATGCGCGGTCTCCCGAAGCCTCGACCCATGCCCCAGGGCCGGCGCTTCTCCCGACGGCTCGACCCATTCCCCAGGGCCGGCGCTTCATCCCGAGTCGTTCTCTTGATGGTCACCTGGGGCCCGGCGCGGGCCCCATAGAGGCGGAAAGTTGAGATGCACCTCCGTCTTGACTCTTTCAATGCGTTGGCTGGTGGGGGTAGGGTTATGTCGGGCGTGTCCCCCTACAGGAGGATTTTCGACGAAAAATAAAAAATACCTCCAAACTACCCCAAAAAGGTCAAAACATATACAACAAATAGTCCCCAGACTATTTTGGGAGTATCTTCTGATTATTTTTGGGGCATCTTTTATGTTCGTCGAGAATCCCCCTGTAGGGAAGGTTCGTGTCGTGACGACCCCAGCGTTGGTTTCTGACTCCGCGTGGATCGTTCAACCTTGAACGATCGGCGGCTTTTCGACCGCCCGATCGTTCCATGTAGGCCGATTCTGGGCCACTGGTGGCGTTCAACCTTGAACGCCCGCGGC